CTCCCTGGTCCATTATGGCCTGGTGGCTGACCTGGCCAGGTTTCTCTTTTCCTCCTCCTCCTCCTCCTCCTCCTCCTCCTTCTCCTCCTCCTCCTTCTCCTCCTCCTCCACTCCAACCCCACCTCCATCCCCCGAAACCCCCTTCGTCCCCCTCTCTACTCTTGAGGGACACAAAACTTAATCGATTTCTGCCTGCCGTGCTCGCGTTTCGACTTCTGCGGCAACCCTAGTGTTTTCGGCTTCCCTCCCTGGACGCTGCAGAGACAGGGGTCACGTGACGACAGAGCGAGCCATACCCGACATACGATTTCTATTAAGGTTCTCCATAAACTTCGCTTGTGTACCTGCGTTTGCGAGTAAACATTACGTCCCAAAATAGTATGTTTTTTGTGTTTTTTTGCAGTCAATAATATTAGGATGATATTATTGTCACGTACTTCTTCTTTACCAGTCAACATTCCTGAACATTGGGTATCGATACTACCCAGGACCATCAAGAGTAAATTGTAAAGCTACGTCACGGGACGAGAGTTTCTTCCATAGAATTATACTCTTAGACCACGCCCTATCATGGCCCATGCTCCCCGCTCTTCATAAAAACGTCGAAGTGAAGCGGGCGCACTACGGATCCTAAGAAAGAGCAAAATACCAAAATACACAGACCCCCCATCCCCTGCCCACCTCCTTCCAAAAATAAATGTTTAAAAAAAATAATGTTCTTTCATTTGGTTCTTAGAGAGTCAATGGTTGCACTTCGTAGTGAACCGAAAATACGTTAAGTGCACTATCTAAGATAATAATATGTAAAAATACAAGTTAAAAAAAAATGTCTTCCTTTTTTTAGTTTAATAAGTTTGTAGAGTTCCAAGAGAGGTACGTGGACTGCTCTTTATTTGGGGCTACATTTAGCCGCTGACACGCTCTCTTTGAAAGATGAGTGATGCATTTTAATCAGATTTGTTTAAAACAATTCCATAATAAGATTTAGTTTTGTAGTGCTTTCTAGATAGTCAAATAAAGAAATTAAAAGACCAGCAAAAACAAATTGTAGAATACACGTAAAACTTTGCCTTAACTTGATTAAATGGGAAAAGAACGATATATTGGTTTTCTGCCCAAAAGGTGCAGTTCGTGCATAGAACATTACCACTTTGTTAAGAGGATACTTTTTATTGTCTCGGGACCTTTGTTTCTATTGTGGATCAATTCAAGAGAGAGTTTTATTCTTTACTAAAGCGTAGTTTTTCTTCCCTTACATCGCTATTGAAGAATTTTGGAATAGTACACTACACGTCCATCCCTCTAAATATCTCTGACTGTCTGTGTTGTATAATCGATGTCCATGGCGTAGCAGTTGAGCAACACGCCGTTGCACAGTGAAAATGTGAGTCACTTTCCGTATGTAGAGTAGATTTTCTTTCGGTTGGGAGGGGGGGGGGTGCTTTTTGTTTTTCAAAGGAGTATCTTCGTCTGTCTGCAGGGACGTATCCCTCTCAGTCCGTGTTGGGCATGACAGGCGGGTTCGAAGCGGCCCGCCTTCTAAATTATCTAGATTATGTCTAAAGGTGCATAAAACAACTACCTTTATCATCATATTATTATGTATTTTGGCAAATGAGGGTAAAACTGGGTTACTGGAATTATATTACAGAGTTTGATTACTACACCTCTTTATAAGACAAAAGAGAAAAAAGCCTAAACATAACATATGCGTGAAGGGTACAGTTAAAAACCTCACTCTTAAAATAATAATAATATGTTTAAAATGTCTTAAACGAATGTCGTAATGGCGATCAAAAGTGACGTCACGTAGACTCTGGATGTGCATAATGGGTCAAAAATGTTTCGAACGGGAGGCTAAAGTTTAGTTTTAGAAACATGTTAATCCACAGACATGCTTAAAGCACTTGAAAAGTAAAACGTTATTTATTCATTTTTGATACACGATCGAATCAACGGTTACGGTAGACTGGATGCATGAAGTAAACATCCTCAGATCGATGACTTTCCATGCGCAATTTCTGCTCGTATAAATATGAATGTGAAATAGTGTTCGCATACTTGGCTTGAGTGATGTGAATGAATCCAGTTTGCAATCTGTCACCAGGATCCATTGTAGATGAAAATACCATGTCAACTGATACATCACGCATTTCGTTTATTCCACTTGCGTCGGCTTACAGAAGCTCGTTTCATTGGAAATCCATTTGTAGAAAATAGCGCAACATGATCTTTTACGCCTGCGGTTGAAAGATGTTCGGTAAGTTATAATCAACAGGGGTTACGGGATAACGAAACAATAACAGTACCTGTAGAAAATGACAGCCCACAAAACATATATCAGCAGCAAAAGCTGCAAGATTAACAAAAACAACAGCGGCAACACCAGTAACAAGACCCTTACTATCACCACCGCCGCCGCCGCCACCACCACCTACTACAACAACAGCAACAACATCAACACCTAGACCTATAGTTATGATCAACAACAGCACAGCAGCAGCAGCAAACCACCAACACCACATTAACCTTCAACACCACTACCGTTACTACAACAACAACAAAGTAGGTCCCGCGGCGACCTGTCACAAGTGGCCAAAATCATGACTGGTCACTTCTCTGGGCTGAGGGCCTAAAACATATAATAAACAACACATCGGACCCAATCTGTCCATTGTGCAGCGAAGAGCCCGAAGATTTGGAGCACTGGCTGCAGAGATGCCCGCTTCGGAGGTCCGGCGGTGGCATATCTTTGGGGAGGATTCAGGGAGGTTCTACTGCCTCAACCCCTACCCAGCTACCCAAGAGAGGCGGTGGCCCTGGCGAAGTAGGCTCTTCGGGGCTCCAAACAATTTAGAAGGATAGGCTCTCACAATTACAACAACAACAACAACAACAATAAAAGTGCATATGACTGTAACTCTCATCTCTGCACCACACCCCGTTCGTTCCCCCCAGCTCAACAAAATCCCTATAAAAGTCCACACACCTTCCCAACAAGCTCGTACATAAGTCAATATTCTCCCTCTGTCACTGTCTCTCTCTCTCTCTCTCTCTCTCTCTCTCTCTCTCTCTCTCTCTCTCTGTCTAGTCTCTCTTCCATCCCCCTCTTCCACTCTCGCTTTCTTCTCCATTCCTCCCTCCCTCCCTCTCTTTCTCTCCCCCTCTCCCTTTCCCTTCTTTCCCTTTCCTCTCTCTCTCCCCCTCCCTCCCCCAGTCTGTCGCTCTATCTATCTATCCCCGCCATCTCCAACCCCTGTTACAGTCGTCCACATATTTTACTAGACGGCGTCACTCACAACCCAAGCGCTCACGACTCATTACAACACGTGGATGACTCATGAATATGGAAACATGCGGGACAGTGAATGAATCAGAGAGCGCTCGTGAATACTGAATGAACCTAATACCTATTACTTATTAGTACTCCAATTCCTAAGCGTCTATTTTTGTATACGCAAAGCGGTAACCACCTCCAAACTCGGCCCACATAAAAGTTTACAGCACAGCGAGCAGATTCGTTGAATTTATTCATGAGACCAGCGATGAAAACAATGACACTCGATGCAAAATCATAGAGACAGGCTATTCCTTTGACGTTCCGGAGTTTTATAGGTCATCAAAATATCTAAAGCGATGTAGTATTATGTCGTGGTAGGGTGAGCAAGCTCTTTTGCCTTGCTGGTGTAAAGCACACGAGTTCAGTTCCAGTAGTGTGGGGAAGGTTTCTATATTTTTTTTCCTTTTTGTGTGTGTTACGTTTGTTTGTTGCTGTTTTTGTTTTGTTTTTCGAGCATCTCCTTGAGTTAGTAGGCGTTTGAGTTGAACTGTTTTCTCGCTCCTGGGAATAAAAGAAACACTTTCTGTGCTTACGACATTTGAACAGACATAAGCTCTCTTTCTCTCTCTCTCTCTCTCTCTCTCTCTCTCTCTCTATCTATCTATCTATCTATCTGTCTGTCTATCTATCTATCTATCTATCTATCTATCTATCTATCTATCTATCTATCTATCTATCTATCTATCTATCTATCTACAGCCTTTCAGTAAGAATGTCTGACCTTGATTTACCACTCTGTCTTTCTACGCACCTAACTTTATTG